GATCGGGATACAACGCCGCGACTAGTGCCTTCTGCGACTTCTCCTTGTCCTTGCGACGTGAGACCGCTCGCTTGCGGGACTCGGTAACGGCTGCGACCGACGGGTTATCACGAACCGGCTGGGTGGTGTGGACCCCAGGTTCTGGCCGGGTCGCAGGTCCAGGAGGATCACGAACGGACGCAGCAGAAGACGCAGCAGAAGCAGAAGCAACCGACAATGGTGGACTCCGGTGCGATGCCAAAGACACCTCCTCGCCATCAGGCACGGACGCAGCAGAAGCAGAAGCAACCGACAATGGTGGATTCTGAGGCGATGCCAAAGACACCTCCTCGCCATCGGGGACGGCACTCCCCGAACCATCACCGACCATCAGACGTACAAGCGGCTCCGTCACCGCAACAGAAGTGGAATACTCCCGCTCCGCCTCAGCCGCCAGAATCGGGATGTTTAAGCCTCCAAGGCGGGTGGGCACTGAGAGGAGTCGCCGAAGGCTTGCCTCATCAGGCACCTCCCGACCCAAGAGGAGGGGTAGCAGGTCACGGTTGACCAGGGTATCCAGGCGCTCTAGCAACGCAGGCGGGCAGGATGCCACTCGGAGCACGTAGCGCCACTTGGAGTAGACACCCTGCAGCGTGGCGTAAACTGCATGAGGCTGAGTACGGGCCACAGATACCAGGTTCACCACCTGCCTGCACCAGGCGGATACCGCCTCCTCAAGGTACGCGGCCTTGAAGCTTCCTGTGCCGAGCACTCCTCCCAGATATCGACAACCGGAGGTTATGATTTTGATGCCGGTGCCGGCGAACAGGGTGGACGCCTCCTCCAAACACTCCTCCTTGACCAGCAGCACCGTTTTTGTTGGGTTAGGGGTATATCCGTAGGCCGGGCCAAGCTCCTTCACACTGTTCCAATAGCGCAACAGAGACCGGACACGGCCAGCGGCGGAATCGTCGTCAGCGTACCACTCCTGCACGATATCGGGGCAGAGCTCTCCCAAGCGGCGTATGAGAGGCGTTATGGCCACAGCGTATATTCCCATCGCCAAGGGATCGCCCTGACAGGTACCCTCGCGCGACAGCACTTCGCCACCACCAGCAACAAACAATCGGCTTGGCGAACGGTAGGTGTTGTGGAAGATCTGGCCAAGCGGCGGGCAGACCACGGGTACATTATGCATGGCGACGGCACGGTTCAGCGAGTTGAAAGCGTTCCCTGCGTCTACCAGTAGGATCGCCTCAGTCGCTGGTTGCTCAAAGAGGTGCTCCATGGCATGTACCGCAGCCTCGCAGCCAGATGGGACACCCGCGCACAGCTGCAGAGGAGCCGTGACCATGAGCATGTCAGGCTCTATCACTCGGGCGACAGCCTTGCAGATGATCCTACGGAACACCTCACCCACTGCGATTGGCCGCACGCCCGGGTTCTTATTGAGCGGAATCAGCCGGGCCGCAGTGAAGGCTGCCAAGGAATCCGGGTCAACATCCTCCCTGCACAGAAGCCTGGCGGTCTCCGCCATGGAAGAAGCCAGCCGGTCCGAACAAGCTCCGTAGCATGTCAGCATTCGCTGCCAAGCCTCTGCGTCAAGGCCAGACGGGCCGGATGAGCCGGACATCTCGCGAGCGACGCGTTTAATCAAGGCGGGTGTCAGCCTCTCAAACAGAATGGGATCACATTCAGGCCTGTCCGCCGCATCCACCAGAACGCTCGGGTCAGGGCTAGCAGGTAATGGGTGCTTTTCGAGAAGTGCATCTCTCACGGTCTTCCCAGTGTCGGCGTCCATGACCTCATCCATCGCCAATACCCCACCGGACGAGGCTGATGAGGCGAGACGAATGGCCGATTGTATTCTGCCGGAGAAGACCAGCTTGCTGAATCTCATATCATCAATTTGCCCATCCGCCTCCCGAGGCCCAGAGTCCCGAAGAGGGGGCAAGTGTGCCTGGAGGCACCGTCCCTCGCGCAGCAGCTCACCAATCCGCCCAGATTCCCATAGGCCGAGACGCCGATCAAGGTGCGGTGCCGAAGCCCCGTACTGGGTAGCACATGGCTTCTGTAGGAGCAACTGGGAAGCCACGACCACAGCCGCCCAGGCATGCCGGCGCGCTGCACCACCAACAGCAAACGAGTGCATGAGGTCAGCCAGCAGAGCCACAAACTGCCGACCCACGGCTCCATATGGCACAATAAATAGATTCCGACGCCACGTGATGACCTCCTCATATGCGCTGAGAACAGACTCAGTAGTAACAGCAGCAGCAGCAGCAGGATCCGGTCCCGGACCCGGCACAGAATCACGTGCACCAGGGGCGTTAGAAACCGGCTCTGATCCAACAGCAGAGCGCGGTGCCACATCCGGGGCTCCAGGCCGCGGAACAGGCTCCAAAACTGGGGCACTGTCATCCCTCGAACTGGGATCCCTGGAATCACGGCTGGGGACATTCATTGCCGCAATGGAGACAGCAGCAGCTGCAGCACCATCAACACACCCGGCGGGCGGTGGAGTGGAAGCGCCACGCACAGGGCCATCAATGGGTCTCAATCGGGGCGAAAGTGCACGACGGCTACGACCACGGCGTCCCGGTACATGAGCCACCGGAGACCTGGAGGCCGACCCATCCCGAGCATGACTCCTGCCCCTTCCGACAGCGCCAGGTGATGGGAGATCTATCCGAATGGAATGCTGGATTCGGATCTGCAACCGGCACAATCGGAACCAGCTGAGCATTACCAAAATTGCGGCACCTACCCGCGCGACCAGGGTAGCAGCTCTCGCAGGCCCTGGCTGACACAGCACACGAGCAGCCACGGCAGCTCCCAGTCGACTTGCTGCACACACAGCATGGCTTCGATCCACCAGCGGGCTGTGACATGCCACCAGAGCGCTAGAGTAGTACTAGTAGAGATCGATCACAACTGCACAGTGCACACGGTAACCATGCACACGGTAACCATGGCGAGAAAGCTGATTAGAAAGCTGATCCGACGCGCTCCACAAGCTGGAGATGTGTGTGCGACGCCACCCGCCAGCACTGGGCGCAATGAGCTGCGACACCAGCAAGGCAACGCTGGTACTGTAATACGGCTGGGACTAGAATATTCTAGAAATTTCGCAAAACTCTCGATGCTCTCCAAGTCCCTAACTGAAGGGACTACCGCTGAAAGGATAATGACCAGGCTAGATAGCTAGCACGCTAGATATCGACGAGCACCGCAAGCCAAGGAACCGAGGGAAATGCACACTGGGCACTCAAATTCAAAGAACACGGGAGCACTGAAAAGTGCATCCACCTCCGAGCAGTAGTAGTAGTAGTAGTAGTAGTAGTAGTAGTAGTAGTAGTAGTAGTAGTAGTAGCAGCAGCAGCAGCAGCAGCAGCAGCAGCAGCAGCAGCAGCAGCAGTAGTAGTTCTTCATTCCGACACCCAGTTTGTTATCAAATAAAGTCAACGTTCTCAGTAGTAGTAGTAGTAGTAGTAGTAGTAGTAGTAGTAGTAGTAGTAGGTAAAATACCCAGCAACATGGCAAGGAAATCAATCTCATCAATTTGTTGTTGTTGTTGTTGTTCTTGTTGTTCTTGTCATGTATGTCGTGGTGGTGGCTGACTCCAGTGCATATTGTGCGGCTGAAGAACGGCGAATCCTACCGCATGGCCTGCAATTCCAGCGTGTACAACATGACAACCAACACGCCGTGGAGGTACGACCTGCATCCGTTCATCGAGCGCGAGCAGATGGTCCTCTCCGACGGCAGCGTGAGCGTCAACATCCTGTTGAGCGACTTCAACGTCACCTACGACCAGACGCACGTACGATGCGGCTCGGACGTCGACACCGGTTTCCAGCTACTCTTCGAACGTGGGGGTGAGTCAGACTGCGTGTAACCTAGCGCTGCCATCGCGATGTGAGTGTCTAGCATCGTGCTGTAAAAACCGGGAATTTTCACTGGTGTAGCATTTTCGGTATTTCCCACAATCAACGGGTCGGTAGCGCGAAAATTTCGGTAAACCAGTTTTCCTGATCCAAGAAATGCATCCTGCACACTGTGTGTGGCATGGCATTGTTGAATTTTAGGTCGATTTTTGTTGCTGTATTCTCTGTCCCCCCCCCCCCCCCGCTATTTGTTTTTAATAGGTACAAATTACCTGTACTGAAGTTACCGAAAATAAATCTTCGCCGAAATTTTACAGTTTTACAGTGAGTGTGCTGCTATTCTGAGTGGAAGTTGTGCACGCTCGGAGTACGATGCAACAGCGATAACAATTAGAGAAAAATCTGACCCTAAAAAAGCCTTCCTGTGCGTGTGTGCATGCCCGGTTGGTTGGGCGTCCATTCGAGTGCAAGTCGTGCATGCTCGGAGTACGATGGACCTGTGGTATACGCGTCGTGCACAGACGTGCGACTTCCCGTAGGTGTGTGCACGTCGCGCCAGGTTTGGTGTCCATTGTGTGCTACGGTAGTACGTTCGCGTTTGACCAGTCTAGCCCAGTCCAGCCCAGTCTAGCCAGCCCAGTCCTCAATGGCATGCAGTGTTGTAGCCGCCTCTCGTTTTCAGTCATCACTGAAACGTGTGCACGTTGAAGCAAACTGCCATTCGCACCGTTCCCTTGCGCCTAACGTGATACCACTAAGCCAGTTGCAAAATGACGTAATTTGTACCATTAACACCCCACCCAGCCTCCTTACATGCATTACTCATATCTTCCATATTTGGCAATGCACAATAGGCTTATCATTGATTTTTATTATTGATAATGTATTTTTCAAGGATTCTCCAGGGGCAAATGGATGTCTATCAAAGGGACTCTCCTGGGGAAAGGAAGTGAAGGTGGCTATTAAAATAGATGCATTGGATATTATGGGACATTCAGGAGAACAGATACTTGCCTATTGGCTTCTTCCTGCGGGGCATTCAGGGGTGACGGGGAGCAACCTGGACTGCAGAGAACACTGATGATCCAATACCACTCAACTAACACACAACTGTTGCTGTATTCTCTGTCCCCC